CCCCCAAAGCCCCACCAATACTTGTTGAGCCTGCCAGGGAAGTCCACCTAAAAGAGCTTCCTGTGATGGTGTGCCAACAATGCTGCACTGATTCTGGATTCAGAGAAGCACTGACACTCATGTAGAGACTGTGCTCGCTTGCACTACATTGGGATGAGAAAATGTTGCAGGGGGTATGGCTATCAGCATTGTCACTGCTCATTGACAGGCCTATAGCTTGTAATGCAACATCTGACCGCATCCAGTCCACTATCTGGATAGGAAGAACTGACTCTCCTGCTGAAACTTCCCCACTGTGAGCTACAGTATCTGGGAGGGGGAGAATGTGAAACACAAATGGAGAATTTCGCTGAGTCATGGAAAGTAAAGAAAATGTTGTGCATCACATTGTAACTCAGATTGTGACTTCTCTAGACTACCATATAGGAGCTTTTAGTTGAAATTCCGAAGCTTTTGAAATAGAAACATTTCTTTCTCACACTGCCTGTCTGGCCCAGGGCTGGAAAGGGGGAACAGGCCAGGGCTCCAACTCTTTCTGTACTGTACAATACTCCCTAAAATACAATCTTTGCACAAGCACCACTGGGTAAGGTACAGATGATATATTATCCACTACATATGTAGATGTGATAAAAAACAGTCTAAGGTGTGGAGTGGTTCACTAGTGGTAGTGACTTTTGAAGCAAATACAGTTTAGTCACCAATCTGCTAGTGATTGTAAATTAACCCCTTAGTGACACAGCTTCAGAAAATTCATTCCTGGGGCAGAGCAATTTTTCCATTCTTGCTATGTGTTTAACCATAATTTTCATCTTCCCCATGCCGTGTTTTAAAGGACAAAATGGGCTTTCATTTGATGTTATATGCATATATAAAAACTTTTTTTCACAGTTTTGGCAATAATAATGTGTACATAATTAGTGTAGCGAACAAAGTAATTCATAAATTATTGTATTTGTCCTGATTTATAGGGTATATCATATGTCTGGGATTTCAGTTTATTTTGGGAGGTATAGGTTACAAAATACAAAGAGTGAAATATAATTTTAGTTTGGAACAATTTTAGAATGTGGCATGTTTGTCTCCTATTTTTAATAGCCTCCTCAGCACTATATTTTCTTATAATTGTTTTATAAAAAAACATTTTTTTTTACTTTGACTTTTATTTTTACTTTTTTTTTAAATCTTAAAAGCTTTATTTTTTGTCATTAAAAAAAACAAAAAAAAACCTCTGAAGCAAAAGGG